TTTTTTTTTTTTTTTTTTTTTATGTTTTTAATCAAATGCGTAACGACGAACGTGCCCGGTCGCGCGCGAGAGGAGAAAATTCGGAGCGCATTTACGTGCGTATCGTATACCGGCGATATACTATATTTATCGATTCCCTTTTTGAACTGCGTACGTCAATTAATTAACAAATATATCGGCTGACCGTGTTTGCGCGATGCACACTGTAATTTCGTTTTTAGTTTGCCAACGTTCGGACGTGCGCACATCCCGCCCCCAAACACGATGACGAGGGAATCTAATTCTTCTTGCGTCTCTGTATTAAAAAAAAAAAAAAAAATTAACATTAATATTTCGCGTTGTTTTTGCGAGCTGATTTTGAAAATTCGGAAGTAAAAAAAAATATAGCGTGCACTACTAGCAAAAATAAGCAAACATAATCCGGTTGACATGGACTCACAAATCTCGTTTGATGAAGCGGAATAAGAAACAAGTGTTTATTTTATTTCGGCGTTCTATCGGCGCCTACGGCGACGAGCGTGTTGAAAAAAAAAAAAAAAAAAAAAAACGAACGAAGAGAGAAAGAAGATTCTTCTCGCTGTAAAAATTTTTTGCGTCGATCTACGCGCTCCCGTTGCGGCGCTTAAACTGTCGGCGCGAACATCACACGATAGATTTGCGCGGGTTAAAACACACAGCGTTTAACTCCGTCGTAAGTGTTCTTAATGTTCATTAGACCGGCGCTTTTCGATTTGTTGCAATTTTTATTTCAGATATTATATTTTATACGCGCAACGATTGCAAAATCTTGCGAGATTTGCGCGCGCGTAAACGCAAAAATGTCCGGATAACGAATTTTTTTTTAATTCCTCTTTGAAGAAGAAAAACGTGTTTTCTACTCGAATTTTGTATTACACAAATTTCAACTCCTACAAATTTAAATCTTCTCGAGAGATTATAATTACGTTTGGCGAAGAATTGTGTTTATTTTAGATTTCTCATCTCTAAAATGCGCGCTCGCGCGAGAATTAATTTTCTTGATGACAGCAAATTCGAAACGCAAAAGTTTAACGAATACCATGGTATACGCGTTAAATCCGAACCTTCCCCCCCCTCCCTCCCTCCCCCCGTTCCATTTCGCGGCTAAAATTGCACGGCGACTTTACGCGCGTAATAAATGTCGTCCGCGCCAAACTCCCCGTAATGACACTGTGTACAGGGTGTTCCGGGAAAGCTCGTATATATGCTCGTATATAGTGGTGTATACTGGGTACACAAACGTTAAAATTGCACATTCAACCGCGCGCTAATCGATCGAAACTCAATAACCAGCTGAAAATGACTGAAAATACACACAGCCGTGAGATAGAAACTTCTTAGAGGTTCATTTAAGAGCATTAATTTACTTCACACCTCCGTCGTTTCTGTTTATTCTTGAAAATCTATTGTTTGTCACTTTGGATTTATTTTTACTCGAGAAAATCTTTAATGTACACATTTATTCACGTAGATATTCTGTTAATTTAAAAAAAAATCTGTTGTTTAAAACTTTTTTTTTTCTGTTTCCTTTGAATCCGAAAATTTTTTTAAATTACCTTTCTTTTGTACTAAAATCACTCACCTTCTCTAGCTTTCAGGTACACAGTGTTAGCTACAATGTTCTCCAACTCCATCAATTCCAGCTTGATCGGATTTGCGCAGCCGAATTGAGGGAGAGAAGGCGCTTCCAACGTCTATAGACGATCGGGAGTGACACGTTCGACTGCTGTGATTTCTGTACGGGGTTGATCACCCTGCCGAGTCCTAGGAAACCAGCTCCCATCTGCGACCCCAGAACACTGTTCGAGTCCACGATTCGCTTTTTCTTTCACGCGAAGACTACCGCGAGCGAGAATCCACGTGCTGTAAGTCGAACGGAGTCTTACTCAATTCTTCTTTTCTTTAGACGGTTTTCTGATTGATCAACGCTTCGGGTATCCTTGGGCAGTTGCCTTGGTAGTTTCTCGAAGGAAATAGCTTGTGTTTAAACAAATCCCATGAGTGTCGTAACGTTTCGAGGCCTCGTTCGCAATTAGTTTAATTAAAGATAATTTAGGTGTTTCGTGAAAGACGTTGTTAAACTTCGGGTCAGATCGAACAGTAAATTCAAGTTAGAGCCTGGTTTAATTTTTTTATTTTTTTTTGCTATCAGTCAGTGTATTTTATCAGTCTACGATCTCTTCTTCTAGAGGGTGATGATTAACGGACGAAAATTGCGTTTTCAATTATACTACGAAAAAAGAGTTTTCTTTTTGCTTAACAGCGATTCAACAAATCCACGAATTCGTCGGAATTAAATCAATCGGTTCTTGTCGGCGTCGTCCGCGTTGCTCGCATAATCGACACTCGTCGAAAGATTCCGCGCGATCATCCTCCCTGTCGGCTCGCTGCGATTAACGATCAATCGATCTCCAACTGTCGACTCTTTCTCAATCGGAAATTCCATCAATTCTTTCTCTGACGAATGGCGAGAACGTCTCGTGAACATCGACAAACGTGCCCTTTCACAGCGGTTTATTCCGATAGAATTCGTTCTCTCTATCAATAGCGCGGTTAGAATGACGCCGCAGCAAAAAGAAAACAGTTGATCAAAACTGTTCGAATTAAAAATAAAATATCAATATAAATTTACGTTCGATTACTTTTGCATACAAACGTGTGACATTTGCAATAACAAAAGACTAGTTTTTGCAGAAAACACGTAGCGCCGTGTGTTCAGGCGTTAATGAGAACGACGAAAGATTTCACACTGTGAAATCTGCGCGCGTAATATACGGACGAAAATATTGCGACTTCTCCGGGGATGCGCTGTCGGGAGACACGTGTTGGCCAAGTGCCTTTCACTCTTCTGACACTGCCGTCGAAACGCAAAGATTCGAGGAAATTATTTCGGAATGATCTCGCGTGCACGAATTCACTCACTTCGCTAGCTCGCTCTTCTTCCGTGCCGATGCTGCTGCTGTTGCTTCTTCTTCTTCTTCTTCTTCTTCTTACGGCGAGCACGCAGGGTGAATGACATTCGCCAACGGCGGATTCCTAATGGTTTCTCTTGCGCATTTCATTTCTTCGCGCGTTTACCGACGCGTCCCTCGCGCGCACCGCCTCGCGGATTTGCTCCTGCGTATGTGCATTCTAAAAAAAAAAAACAAATTTATTTAGTTTTACTTATTGTAAACTTCTTATCTCTAATAAACATTCTTGTTGCAAAATAGGAGAGAGAAAAACGCGGGGAGTCGCATTCAAAAAAAAAAAAAAAAAAAAAAACAAACCAAGAAATATATAAGGCTTTACGAGCCGTTCCCAGGATGTTGGGCGGAAACTGTCCGTGTATATATATATATATATATATATTATATGTATGCATACACTTGTATCGAGTTCAACTTGTAAATTGAGATTTCAAATCTCACTTCAAAAAATACTCACTTGTAAAAATTTACAAATAAAACGTGTTACATGTATATATATATACACTTATAGTTTCCGCTCAACAGGGGAACGGCTCGTAAAGCCTTATATATTTCTTGGTTTAATTTCAACGAGCCTCAAGTCATTATTAATTAAATTAAAAATGACAAAAATTCACAATAAATTTCAAGAAATCGGTTTGACAATTCAAGAACAACAAATTAAAACGGACCAAAGATTGATTTACATTTCTTGCATGTCTTGTGAGACGGTCTTGCTCGGTCCCGTTAATTTTGTGTGTCGGCGACATAAGAAACATCGTTGCTAATCTTCCAATTATCAACTTTTCAATATTTGAACAATTCGTTTTTATGCGTATTGTTTTCTAAGTTATTGGTTTATGTATTTTATTTGTTTTGCCGGCGCACGTAACGGTTACTCCTCGTGCTGACTAGTCCTAGATAAAATATTTGCTGAAGGAGATCAAAATAAATTTAATGATCCAAACGTTCATTCACCAGATGTGAGTTACTTTAAAGATTTGAAAAAATATTACAACCGTTAAATCGCCGGTTCTCCGGTCTATTTTTAATTGTTTCTTGACAAATTCACGTTTAACAAATGTTCTTTCTGAAATCTGGGAACACGCATTCCGCAATACCGTGCGTGCGTGCGTGCGTGCGTTGCCGCGCTATCGTCGTCACTACGAGCGCGCATGCAAGCGCATGTGAGTAACGACGCGTCGTCGGACAGGTGCATCGAGGAGGAGAGAGGAGAACACAGTAGAGAAGATAAAGATAACGACGCGACTAATGCGACGCGATAGCCAACGGCAATCTAATAACCGGTCGCGACGCGCTCGTTATTTCCACGTATTCATATCCGCCGAAGCTTTTAATGCAATCCACTTCCGCGAGAATTACACATTTCGAGTAATATCGCGGAAACAAACGAGGTTTCGAAGCTGCGGAATTAGATGAATTGTCGCGGTCGCAAATTGAACGCTCGCTCGCTCACTCGCTCGCTCTCTCTCTCTTTCACTTCCAATTATCCCGAGCGAACTATCCGAGATGTTTTTTCTCTTAATTTGCTCGATTGATCAATTGAAAACCGAGTCAATTAATTCTCACGTGAAGAATTAGCGGAAATAGTGCGAGTGATGCAAAAAAAAAATAATGTCGCTTTTAATTATCCACCTTGAGTACATTTTTTTTCCTGAAATTGTATTAGATAAGGTGCGCGCAACACCAACAAAGTCACATGTTTGCTTTATTTAACATATTGTTGACGCACTTTCAATTAATCAAAATTGCAAATCAACGTTGCAATTTTTTTCTCGAAAACAACGCAATTTACCATCATTACTTCGAGAAGCGATAATTATTTGCGATGTCTTCTACGAGCACTCCGGAATGCGATTTTCATGCCATTGTTCAAGATACGCGCGACTATAAATTGACGAGATGACGATGTGCGATGTTGTCGAGCGCGTGTCTGGATTTCCGAGCGCGTATAATATCGTACACGTCGCTAATAATCGCGACCGTACTTTTATTTGGAACGTACTACGTCGTACGTGAAGGAACAATGGTCGGATAATATATTGGAGGATAATATTAGAGAATATATAACGCACGCGATTTTGAGATTTCCGTTCTGTAACATATATCGGATTGACAGCACCAAATTTTATCGGTCATCTTTTAAGATAATTCTTAGAAAAAAAAAAAAAAAAAAAACCAACGCTTCTTCTTATCCGTAAAACAATTGTACACAATTTTATAATTGAAGCTGAACACAAACACGCTTTTGTTGTGTTGGAATCGGAACGGAACGCGATATAACGTCGGATGATAAATAAAAAATTCAACAACGCTACAACGAACGCGATAAAACGTGTCATACGCAAGGAAAGGAACAATGAAGAAAAATGGAACGAAGTAAATGCTTTTGAAATCTTCATGTACGCTGGGATTGTGAACGAATCGCCTCGTTCTTCTGTAACTCTCCTCCTCGGGTGATTGCCGGTTGCGACGTACATACGTTACATGCACACCGATGAAGTATAAATTGCCAATAATAGCGTGACGGAACAATGCGCGCAGCTGACGCTGATGTGCATTAAAAACATTCGCTTTGTGTCAATCAGTAATGCACAATCGTGCACGTTTTTCTACGTGACTAATAATAAATATCACAGACGATATTACGGACGGATTTTTGTTCGCGTCTGTGTGGTTCCGTGAGTTCAAATTGTGATTTCTTTGTGACGTTTTCTTCGGTTAAATTCAAATAAATTACCTTTAGTTCAGGAAAAATCCGTCGGGATTTTAATTTTCGAAAATTAAAAAATTAATCGCAAATCGAGCGACCTTTTATCGAATTTCTTTGAAAACCCGCGGATAAAAAGCAAATACGATCGACTCGCAGAATAATCCACTGTGTGTAGACATAGCATGTGTGTGAAAATTGAGGAAGAGAAAGAGGGAGATGGAAAAGCCAATTCCGTCATATCAGCGCAAATGGCTATTGGTCGGCAAAGAGGAAGGAGAGAAAACGCCGCGCGCTCTTTCCGCAGAAGACGATAATAATAAACGTTTGCGTTCGGCATCAAATTGAAGCGGTTCTTACCGCGAGCGATATTTCAATATCCGAACGCTCTCCTTCTTTTCGATCGGATTATGGATCACTTCGATCCTCTCATTCTTATATACCGAATCGCGCCGGTAATTTGTTAAACGCGGACGAAAAATTTTTCAGAATTTTTCTGGAATTTTTCCGGAATTTTTAACACGGTTCTCAGCGAGATAAATAGCTTCGGCTTGAATGACGGACGATTGATAAAGTATTCGAAACAACGCGTACATAGATAGCGACGGTGGTATCACCGGTTGTCGTTGACAAGTTTTATCCCTCGAAAGAACCGTTGTCTCATTATCGCACGTATTGATTGTGTAAAAAAATGTGTTACTATTCGTTCGTATCGTAAATTGAAACTTCGTACAACGAAAGCGAGTAAAAATCTTTTCTCGTCACTTAACACAAGGACTACGTTGGGTGTTTATTGTCGCGCGGCTTGATGCACGGCTTGTTTTTATTTTCGGCTGACAAATGCTCACGACGATACACAACAACGTTGCGAAATTAATTTAAACTAGACCAGACCAGAAAGTTGCACGCTCCAACGCGGAGCGACATTGGTTGACCGAGTATCGCATTGTTTTTTATTTTTTTTTGCTTTCATTACAAAAATACACACACAGAGAGAGAAATCTAATAAAGTACGTGAGTAGCGGATTCTTTCGCGCCGCGAAACTTATTAAATGTTTTTCATTGACTTTTTACCGATTTTGTATATCAATGTAAAACATTGTGATATAATATTAGTTATCGATACTCCTTTCTCTAAGTATCGATAACTAAGTGTCGATACGTGAAGTATCGTTGTCACAGGACTATCAATCGTCATATCCTAAATGTCGCTGTTCCAATATCGATTTTGTATATCAATGTAAAACATTGATATAAATATTTTTGCATATCAATTTTGATATACAATATCGATTATCGATACCAATATTGATTTTGTACATCAATGTAAAACATTGATATATACAAAATCGATATTGGAACAGCGACATTTAGGATATGACGATTGATATTCCTGTGACAACGATACTTCACGTATCGACACTTAGTTATCGATACTTAGAAAGGAGTATCGAATTTCCAAACGTGATATATTTCGTCGGTGCGTTCGATTTCAATCGCCATTAATATCACGCGGAAGTTTCGAATTCCGCGCCTCAATCTCAGATTTCCAGTCCTGTAATTTGCTGATTTGATGCGAGCTTTATTAGAACCCATTTCGCGAACATTACAGTAAATTTGCGCGTAGTTTCGGTATTCAGAAAATCAACGTTACACACACGGACCCCTGTGTGCGATATGCACCGATTGTCAGTGAACGAATATTTCCTCGTTTGCGGCTCCGTTCGAGTGTGTTCCGGTTTTTGCGGTTTGGGGATATGACGATAGTTTGCGGTGCGATAGTCCGAACTTACGTGCGTAATATCCGTGTCATAACAGAACAGGCCGTTGAACGAAATAACGGTTTGTACGCGTATCACACATTTTTTTTTTTTTTTTTTTTTTTTTTTTTTTTTTTTTTTTCCAGCAAAAAACAGAAGGAAATTATTCAACGTCACACACTTTTGCAAACAACGAGATTTATTTGCGCGCAAACATATATTATAAGTTTCTATCTTTTTAATTGTTTTTTTTTATTTTCGTATTCGATCGATCAAAGAAATCAGAATCCAACTTTTTCGAAGCGTTTTCTCTTACTTTGTTCGATAATCACAAAAATCTCTGGGTTTGATGAAGTGCCGGTATTAATGGCGACCCCAGCATCTTCTTAACGAGGCATGCATGTATATGTATGTACATACATATACATGTATTACTCAGGAAGCGTCGTCGTTCGATGACCCTATGACTCGCTTTCTCTCTCGATCTCATCTACGCCGTTCTCTTCTATCGAACAAAAGCTAAACTTTCGTGCGAACGTGGTCAGACAGCGTGATTTATTGCCAAGTGTATATCCGTCTCGCGTTGACAGGTGTTATGTACGAACCACGTGTCAAGTTGATGATAACCGTTACCGTCACAACGACGTTAACGTTAAAACGCGCGACGACGTAAAAAAAAAAAAAAAAGAAAAA